TTTTTTTCCTCTAGCAACTTACGATGACTAAGCCAGGAGCGCGGCGCCGGAGTGCAGCGACAGACGGGGCAGCCCGGGGAGCGCCCAGCACCGCCAGCGCCGCCTCGGCCCGGCTTTATGGCCCGGGCAATATGCAAATATGAAAATGAATATGTAAATATGCAAAGAACCCTGCGCGCCCATTGGGCGAGCGCGGAGGGGCGGGGCCGGCGCTGCCCGGGGCGTGGGGCGGGTTCGGGCTCGGCGCTCCCGCGGGATGGAGCGGAGCGGGACGGGATGGGATGGGATGGCACGGCACGGCACGGCACGGCACGGCACGGCACGGCACGGCACGGCATGGCTCGGCACGGCACGGCACGGCACGACATGGCTCGGCGTGCATGGAGCCCTAGGCTCCGAGCCCTCCTTGGGCCTGGCTCCCACAGCCCTCCCAGAGCCCTCAGCCCCGCAGCCAGCATGCGGATCCCGCGTTTCACCCCCTAGGTCCTTCCTGCCTGTGGTGACCCAGCTCTGCGATGCCTCTGGTGGGGTCTTCCTTCCCATTCCTGCTTTTGCACCGGTAACCAGCAGCCAGCTGCATTTTCTGTACAGTGCTCGGCAAGGGGCCTTCTGCTGTTCCCTTGAAAAGTCTTTGCCAAGACCTTGTTTTGCCAGCACTCGAGGGGATACAAGTTTGGAGAAAATATTAATTCACTGGAGATTGCATCTGTGCTCCTGAGAAATAAAAAAAAATTGATTCCTTGAGCTCTTCAACTCTCTCTGCTCTCCTCTCAGAAATGTGGTTTTAACTGAGATCTGTGTTGGCAGCCACTGGGTGAAAGATCAGTTATGTAAGGACATTAATTTAATAACAATACCAGTTTTCATTTCATTGTGCAGTTTGTTGCCAAAGGCGCAGCTTCATAAAGAAGCTTATTACACAGGGAATGAGGACTCCCTGGATTTTGCAATGTGAAGCAAATGCGATTCACTTTAAGGACGACATATCTTTTTCATACCAGACACCTTTGGAGACTAAAACATATCTGGTTTATATTAGTGAGATTGTTCAATAAGAGATGGCTGAAGTGTAGAAGTAGTACTGGGTCACCTTTCCTACTTTAGGTTCCTCTAAAAGACCAGTAAGATCTATAAATGAGAATACATTTTCCCCAAGACACAACTAGTTTCCTCCATCAGCAGTCCCTATTTATATCCAGAAGGCATCAGAAGAATTTAGTGAGGGTACAAACTGTTCATGCTGAGACTTTTCAAGACAAGTGAGTGGCAGGAAGAGGAGGGGGCTAACACAATGTGTGAGGCAGGGAGAGGCTGGGAGTCCGAGCAGGAGACTGGAGGTGAAGAGGCAGGAGAGACCAGCCTTCCTCCCCAGAGGATGGTGGTGATGTGAGCAGGGAAAAATATGATTTGTGCTGCAGCTTGCTAAGTACTGAGCATATCCTCTGACATATCTGAGACCCTCTTGTCAAGACAATAGCAAGAACTTTTCCATGTCTTTCTTTTCCTCAAGTGTGGACTAAACAATGCATTTCTCTTGATCTAATTTGGTTGAAACTCTGTAGCGTAATTTCCCCCTTAGAAATCAGCCTGACTCTATCTCGGGTCAGACATCCTTCCCAGAAAATTTCATTCCCTGATGGCAGCATGTGGCAAACTAAAAGAACTAAAACTTTGAGGCAGGCTGTGTCAGGTCACCCTAGTTACAGGTGATGCCACTTACCCATCAGAGCAAAACAGAATATGAAGTCTCCTGATTTGCACAACTACATCCATGTCCATGCAGGGAGAAAAAAAAAAAAAAAAGGCTTACAATATTATATATTATGTTAAGTTTGTGGGAAAAGAAGTAGTGTAGTTTTAACTGCTTATAGGAGCAGGTAGAAAGGAGCAGTGGCAATGTTTGGCATACCAGCCCTGGATAGATTGCTGGCCCTGTCTGTAAATCCACAGGGCTGTAATCAGACTTACAGTTAACTTCCAATACAGTTTGTGAAACCCATCAATTGCAAGGGCAGGCAATGGATTTACACAGAATGAAATCTAATTTGTTACACTGAAAACGCTTGTTTGCATAATTTTTTCTTCATGCTCATGCTTCACTTTAAGACATAGTTAGATATTTAAGGAAGGATTATGCAAAGTGTCCAACAAATTGCAGAAAAGAGAAAAAGAAAAATAGGAAAGAAAATAAAAAGAAAATAAGGAAGATTAAAAACAAAAATGCTAAAAGAAACCTTTCAAGTGAGGAAAGATGGAGGAAGGGGATAATTCTAGTTTCTTGGATCTTGAACAAATTGCCTAAGTCTGTTGTAAGCACAGATGTAAAATAATATTAAATAGATGGGACACAGCACATTTTTCAACATTTAATAACCTTTTTTCCCTTCCAGATCATCATGATTAGATGGAATAGAAGCTTCATGGCATCAACTCAAGGTGCTTCAGTGCAATCACTAACTGGACTTGAGTTCCTCTTCCTCTGTGAAATACATAATCCCAGGGGGGAAAGCAAAGATCTGTCTGTAAAACAGAGCCTGATTTATAGTATTCATGGACTCCAAAGTGGGTGGAAGGTACTATAGTGAGAGCTAAAATACATTGCTCCTAACAAGGATTGAGGAAAGCCTGGGCAGTGAAGAGAGAAGTTGCATAACTGGGCTGGTGCTTGCACCCACAGACCATGTAGAAGGTTAAAGTAAAAGCAAGCCAGAAGTGTCTCCAACACTACATGGGCAGCACTGCGGTGCAGAAAACTCACTGGCCTCACACAACAACAAGCAAGGGGAGAACCAACCAGAAAATTTCATTTCCACAACAATGCTCCAAAGACACTGAGAAGGGAAGGGGGCTGACACGTGACACTTCAAATGTTTTTGTACTGCTTTAACATAAAAGATTTTATAACTGAGGGTGAGAAGTCTTCCAACAAAAGTATCTGCTTAGAAACAGGCTGAAAACATTCCAGTCTCCTTCTCACTGGGAAAATACAAGTAAGAAGACTTTTTTTTTCATTCTGTAAATATTTGAATTTTTTGTTTCCCCACTCAGAAGAAAAATAGTGAAAATAAATCCGAAACCTCAGCATAAGCTTCCATATTGTGTCTGGACTAATAAGTTCAAAGAAACAAACAAAAGGGGATCCTTTTCTCCTACTTTTGGTTTTTCAAATATATCAATGTTTTTTAAAATGTATTTTTCCGCAAATCAGCCATTTGTAATGAAACTCCAGTTTGAGAATTAAAAAAATTACTTTTCCCTGCCTGTCTCAATAAGTGGACTGCAGTAATAACTTTATATGCAGCAGAAGTCCTCTTATCCTGGGCTGAGCCTGTTTGATTCAAGTAAGAAGCAACACAACATCAAGACACCCAGAGGCTTGAGGGTAACTATTGAGCCTGTCCCACCCACACCCACAGCAGACCTGTTTGATGGCTCAGTGTTTGGCTGCTTTTCCACACTGGCAGTGAGCAAGGACTGCTGGTACCTCTCAGCAGGAGCAGGGACAGCCCAGGGACAGGCAGGAGTGCAAATAGGTGAGAGCCACAGTTGCACCAAAACCTGTGTGGTGGTTATCCCAAATCTCCCTAAATGGGCAGATGGGAAAGGTGGCAGCAGGAACAACCGGGGTGTCTGCTTAGGAACATAATATGTGTGCCTTCAGTAGCCCAGCTGAAGGCACAGAAATACAGGGAGCTATGCAGCAGCTGCAGCTCTGCAATAGACAGGACAGCTGTTCCTCCTGCTAACTTTCTGCTCCGCAGAGAGGTTCCTCCAGTCTTCGGTGTCACATAGGAAACAACAGGAGGCTTGTGTAAAACAGCCTTTAGCTGTTATGTCTTGCCATATTTGTCCTTTCTATTGCTCTGATATCACTTGCTGTTCTGTTCCCAGGTTGTCTTATCTCACAGACAAGGTCCTCTCGCTGATTAGCACAAGGATTAATTCCTCTTCATCCCACTCCAGTGCACTATGGAAGCTACTAATTCCTTTAAAAAAAATAGGGGTATGGAATAGAGCAGGATGCCTTGCTCTGGTAGTGAGTTGTGGATCTGGTTGTGGAGTAACCTCGTGCTGTGATTTTCTCAACTGCTCTTTAATTAATTATCACACTAATTGCAGTGCCTGCCAAAGTCAGCTAGCTGTCTTGCCAGACACATCTTTCAAAATGCAATGCCAAGGGAGAGACATTCCAGCGCCCTGTTTGGGGTGGCGTGTAGGGGAGTGTAGTCCAAGTCCCCCATTCATTGGCCATGGGGCTGGTGTTCTGATCTCCCCTCGCTGCTCCTCACGTGGCTCCCAAGTCCTGCCTGCAGTAGGTTAAAGATGACGTTGTCTGAAACTTTTGTGAGGTTACGAAAATGTGCAAGGGCAAGGGGGAGAAGGAGAGAGAGAAGACATTTTGCCTGACTAAGTGTTCAGTACTAGCAGTGCTCAGGTGTTTGTAAGGGCAGAAGCCAGTTCCTGCATTTTGCCAGCTGTGTGCCTACTGGACAGACTTCAGTATCTCCTGTTCTCTCCTGTTCTTCTCCTGCAATTTGCTACATCTATATCTCTAACCCTGGGAAGAGAGCCTTCTCACCCAGGTCCCAGCCTGGCAGTCTGTGCTCCTGCTTGCCAAGGGGAGAGTGAGTAGGATTAGAGAGCAATGCACAGCAACACCACTGTGGGAAAATAAATCTGTCATTTCCGTCACAAGGAATGTATCAGGGAAGAGAATCCACTTCTCTGGCCTCTGGGCTACCCAGGAAGGGAGAGAATAATTGCAGGCTCTCTGCTTTTCCTTTATTTCAATCTACAAGGGTGACAGATGGTGTGTGGTGCAGCCAAGGCTGGATTCCAACTTGTGTCTCCTTCACTTGCTTGCAACTTAGTGAGAACAGATTCATCCTTGGGCTGACATTTCCATCTCATCCCAAAGGGGATTTGTTTAAATCTTCATTTAAAGTTTCGGCTGACTTAGCATTGCTTCTTTGGAATTTTGCAACTGGTAAGTAAAAACGCCCCCTTGGCCCAACACTCCTGCTGTGGACATCCAAACCCAGTGCTCATGGAGTGAGGGGTGTGCTCCCAAAGGACAGTTCAGCCTGCCTGCAGTCAAAGCACACTTGTGCAGTGCCTCCAGAAGCTACAGAGAAAT